GATCACCTTGATGTTAATCAAATAGTCGGCCAAAGAATAATGCTAAGTGTACATTCCATGTTTTACATCCTTTTTGACATCCTGTGTTTTCAAAAAATTGTGGATGGAAAAACAGTTTTTCATTTTAAACTGGCAAATGGTGTGTTGTCACATAACGCAATATAAACAATAATATCAAATATGATGCACATGCAACATAATTGAATTTCCCTCGTGCTTGTGAAAGTACAAACATGTTATTTCTTTATATTGAATGATGCAATTAGTTCACTCACTATAGTGTGTTTGTCTGCGCTCATCACTATCATTGGTCTCTTTAAGCTTTGGAGACCATATACACGGCATGTGGTGGAATTTAGAAAGAGGGCTCTCTTTTGAAATACAATTAGGTCCTGTTTGATATGCTTCCATTTTTCATGGAAAATGGAAATTAAATTTCATTTCTCACTTTTTAACACGTTTGATGATAGAAATTTTTCATGGAAAACATTTTCTATAAACCCATGCCACATAAGCATTTTCTTGTTTTTTTGATGAAAAGCAATTCCCACCAATTCCAACTATATCCTTTTTTTTTCTTTTTTTTTTAATTTGCAATTGAAACAAATTTTAAGAACAATTGTAAAAGAAGATATTCATTAAATTAACAATTTTCATGTAAAACAACGCCAAACGAATACCAAAATATAGATGATTTTCTTAATTTTTTTATTTTTTATTTTTTTGTTGGCAATGAAAACGAATTTCATTCTCAATACCAGTAAAATCTATTCCTTTAATTGACAATTTTCATGTAAAACAAAGTCAAACGAACACCAAAAAACACTTTTATTTTAATATTTTCCACGTAAAAAATTATGTCAATCAAACACAATAATTTACAATTTTCAGGAAAATAATTTCTAGACAATTCAATTCCTTAGAATTTGTTTTCAATTCAATTCAATTCCATTTTTGCAATCAAACGAACCCTTAATGTTAACTACTATTGAAAATATTTGGTGCTTATCATCATTTTTTTGGGCACAACGAATAATTTTACCCAATATCACCTTCTTTTACATACTCCTATGCAAATGGGACTTCCAACGATTTTACTCGGAAGATTAAAAAAAAAGGAGACTAATAATTAGGACACAATATGTATGCCTGTACAACTAATTTCTAACTATATATCACACGACAAATTAAATCCGCCATTATCATAAATTTCTATGCACACGCTGTTTTACCATTTGGAGATTTATAAGACAGATGCAGCTAATTATAGACGAGTTTTCTGATCTGGAAGACTGGAACCTTTGCCAGCTTAGTGGTTGAACAAACCATCTCCATTCTCCATTTTCGCTTCTGGTGGTGCTGAACGACGCACAAACTCGGGTAAAGAATTCCAAAAGGTCTCCGGTGGAAAGAATAACCTGCCGCTCGGAGCTTCCACCAGAATTACCCCAGTATCCATCAATTCATCTCTTAACAAAATCATATCGCAAAAAAATTCCATATCTGAAAGTATAAAATCAAAGTCCACAAAGTGAGATGTGATGTTATGATCATTCTAGAACGTGTTTGACTAAGCTCAGAAATAAAATTTACTTTTTGTTTCCTAATATCTTCAGATAATTTTCTTAACTATTGCCTTGCATTCAAAATAAGTAAACTTACTACTTTCCATATTTGACACGCCAC